TCATACTTTTACTCAGGTTAGGGCGACGTGGCAACATTTTTATTGAAAAAAAAGGGGCTGCGACTAAGACAAGTTTGGGAAACAATGGGCTGGTAGACAAGCATGCTAGTCACTGCTACGGTGGCTCTCTGTATTTCTTTAATACTTATAAAGAGGTCTGTTTTTTTTTTTTGAAAGAAAAAGTGCCAGTATTCATGATGATAAAGTATCTTCTACAGTAGTGCTGGGGAAAACAAGCGCCTATAAAAAGATGCCAGTACTGCGTATTATTGTGTGCAGCCAGGGGAAAAAAAGCCCTGCTTATAATTTTGTGTGCCATTTTGTACCTAGTGACTTAGCATGTCTACTGTATGACTTGTCATACTACAACACTGCTTACGCACAGTCTAAGATCGTCATATAGTGCGAGTTAGATCTGATGTTTAAAACATATTTTGTCGCATTAAGCTGCGCACATTTTACCACTATAGATTAGTACGCCAGTTGTGAATTCACTTCATTATATTGTTTGTTTTTCTTTGCATCATTTTTATACAATTGCTTTCTTGGCAGGTGTAATTAAATGCTAGAAAATAATGCTATTATTGCAGCTGTAGTTCTGACAGTGTAGATTTCTCATGGACCACATTTTTTGCAAAAAGCAAATGTATGTGCAGCTTGTTGCCTCCTGAAAATGTGTCCATGTTAGTTGATGTCTGAAGTAGACCAAGCACATAATGATATGTCCCAGGGCCTAAGATATAGAAATTATGACAGATTCTGAGAAAGATACTTCTTTCTTTCTAACTCTTATTGTTAAAATAATAACTTTTCCTATATTAACTTTGGTTTTTTTGCTATTGAAGGAAATGTTTTTTTCTACTGATTCTCATACTTTAATTCTTGTCTTGTCTGCCCACTGGTCAGTTGAAGCAGCCCTGCAGGGTTGTCTTCTTGATTTGTATGTACTAAATGAAAAGGGAAAAGGTCTAGAACTGTTCATACTGCTCTGTCATTGATGAATCTCTGCCAGATGGTGACAATAGTCTTGATATTATGATTTTAAGATATGAAAATTGAGCAAAATATTTCAATCGGATCATCTGTTTCTGTTGTTGTGAAACCTAACATGTCATACAAAAATTATCATAACATCCAAAGTATATAAACTAATTGTTTCAAATAAAGACTAGCTGATGCATAATTGAACAGAGAAGGCACGTGCATTTTTAGAATTGGATAGCAGTGTTGTTATTAAACAAATAAAAAGGTAAAGTAATGGCAACATTTTTTATGTAAATAATCTTCATATGTGTCTACCATCCTTGAATGTTGTGCGATCGTAATAATATTTTGTTATACTGACACTTAAATAGTTTACATATATTCTGCACTCATTTATCTTTAATTTGATATATTATGTGTCCCAATACAGCCAATAATTTTTCTTTAAGAAGGTTTAACTTTGTCATGTTGCAGTAATAAAATTCCTCTCAAAATTAATGCTGTCCAAACCCCAGAAAAAATGTGGTCCTTAAAGAGTTAAAAGAGTTATTATGATATACCTTTAACTACTCTGGTTAGTTATTTAACTCTTTCAGTCTCAAAGAACACATTGTGCATTCATAGGTTCCTACCTAGAAGCCCAGTGAACGCATGGTGTGTCAGTTTTACATGTCTCTTGACTACCCCTTGAGCCTCTGATGCTAAATCCCCTGGGACTGAAAGAGTTAATCTCTGATTGCTGTGATTTAGGTTGTGAAAATATTTATTATTCACTGTTTTTGCGTGTCGCCCTTAAAGGGGCAGTTGGCATATTGTGGCTAACAGCTAGGCTGTGATATCTGCACCTTTCAGTCCAGGATGCCCATTTCAGTGAACCAAAGATTAGTCATTCATTTTTACAGCCAGCTTGTTATGGGGCAGTAGTCTATTCTGTTTGTTTTTTTCAAACGGAGCCCTGGAACACACACAGGGATATAATTATAACTTCAGTCTCATAATTTACCTCTAGTTGTGAAAATAATAATATTTATAATTCTAGTACATAAAAAAAAAAGAAAATCAGTTTCTTTTCTCATATCCCTTTTTTGTGTAGCTAGGTTTGCTCTTTACTTTTTTAGCTAAACAGTATCTGGAAAAGTTTTTTTCATACCAGAGACATGTGCAGAAGAGAATCAATGACAGAGTTTAATACGATAGGAAAAAAAATATGGACTGAGCTGCATGAAATGGCAACAGAATTCATATACGTTGGTTGAGGGCTGTATGCTCCAGTGGGGTAAAAAGGTAAGAAGAAGAAAATATATTTCAAAGAAATAATTTAAATTGAAAAAAAATTATTTAAATATTTAATTTTTTTGTGAAACGATCAGATCTATACCCTATTTATTAATCAGAAAGTGGTCTAGTTTTGCAGCTCAAGATAATGAAGGACAAAAAGAAGATGACCTGCAAATATATACAAAATAATAAAAGGTGCACATAGGCAAGTAGTACAAATTAGTATGAAAAATTGTAATGTAATGTGTGAGTGTATCAAGTATTATGTGCAAGTGAATATTTGTTTTTTATTAATTTGCAAGTAATTTTCCTTTCAGCTTAGTATTACAAAGAAACAAGCATGTTTTATTTATCAATTTTAGAATTTGGTGAATTTTAAAAAGTAAATGTTGTTTTGTAATGCATATGAAAGTATAATAGAATTAAACTGATATTGCTGATCTATTGCTGATTTTAAATACCTGCTGAATATTAGGTCATCTTTGTACTTTGCATATGTGGGTTCGAATTGCTGTTTTATAAACAAACATTTGCAAATTACTTAAAATTATTTAAATAAAACTGCAATTATTTTGTAAATTATATTAATAACATAATTATAAATATTAATTACTTTGTTTTAATTTTTCAGTGATGGTGTTCAAAATGAATTGCAACATTCAAAACAAGTTATAAAACATTACATAATTTGTAATGTTGACATACAGTTATGAAGCTAACTGACAATGCCTGATGTGTTTTATGTAAATTATCTCTGCCCTGAAGAATACAAGTTTGCAGATTGGTACTACAAGCTGTATAGTTTATGGTTGAATTAAACCTTTTATCATTTTCCCAACCATTAGGACTCTGAGGGTTTCACCAGCCTCATAACATGGATGCCATATAATGGTTATGAAAAGATATCAAACCCGATGAAAAGTTGAGTCGGTCAGCTTCACATTAAAGCCTTCATCTTCACATTGCATGAATAAGAACACAGAGTCACTTAACTGATGTTTCTCTGAGAGAAATCACAAATCTGTCTAGCCAGTTGAATCTCTTACATGTGTGTGACCATCAGAAGTAAATACTAGCAAAAATAACCTGTAAATGGCAAGGGCTCTGACTGAAAAGTAAAAGGCCATATAATGGAAATAATTATGTAGTAATTATTTGGAAAGAAAAGATGGCAAGGAAGATTCTGGTCTCTCTGTCTTATAAAGTCATTATCTGAAACAAATGAAAGCCTAACTCTTTACACCCCAGTTGCAGCATTTATGCAGCCACCCTTCTAATATAATAAATTATAAGAAAACCATTTTAATAACATGAAATATCATTGTAAACTCACTTACTCTGCTCACAAGATTATGTGTGATAAATATGAAGAAATGTTATTCATTCCTCTTGTATATTATTGCATGCCTTTTTTTTAAAAAGACCTTTCCTAGCATTCTTATATCATTTAACCTGTTTACCTTCTTTAGTGGGTGCTCTCTGTAGAGCTGCCCAAGTTGTTCTTTTTAGTTAGGTTGTCATGTTTTATTTGTATTGTTTGTTGATGCACAACAATAAACAATGATCAATTCCCTAATTTGTGTTTATGCCATTTTCCACATGAGGGTAGTGAGTTTGTTTAATGGCTGCGCTATTTGGATCATAAGTGCGATTTTCTTTCAAGAGATCCTTGGGATCGTCGCTGGAGCTATGTGTGATGCTCTCAGCAGGTGGCTAGCCATTCTGGGGAGAGAGACTGAGCCATATAGGATAGAACCCAGTGCAGTGAAGTCTGTCCTCTCACCTTTTACCTTTAACGTACTAAAATTGTGTGATCCAGCCTACAGATGTCATCTTCTAACTTGCACACACAAACTACCTATTGTTACAAAATATAAAGAACTATCATACTACCAGCTCAGACTTCATTACTAGTAACCACGTGAAGTCAGTTAAGTCAATTCTGCCATCTTTGTTGGATATTTTATTTTAAAAAGTAAATATACTACAGATTACATAAATTATTTTATAAAAATAAAAGTACAAAAGTGGAATAATTTTGTAGGAAAAAACAAACTATGTTGATGTAATGCATATTGACCATAAAGCATAAATATAAATATATATATATACACACACGTTTGTCTCATGCTGTGAAGGTCATTTCACGACAGTGTCAGTCGGTTCACAGGTGTAATTTTTAGCTGCACTAAGGGAAAGACAAAGATACTGAGAATAAATAAGGCAAATAGTAATGGGGTTTCTCTTAATGGTATCCCACTCCAAGACGTGGAGTTGTAACGCATGTCTGGGCAGTAGTATAGTTAAAGATAGGGAAACTTGTAGAGATATTAAAATATAAATACAAAAAGCAAGAGAAGCTTTCATAGCACTTGGGAACTTGCGCAGGTCAAAAGAAATTAAAACTAACACTAAACTTAACATTTATAATTCTAATGTCAAATCGGTACTGTTGTATGGAGAACAACCAAGGAAATTACTAATAAACTACAAATATTCATTAACTGGTGCCTGCACAGACTAGAGGGAATTAAATGGTATGATAGAATCACTAATGTAGAGCTCTGGGAGAGAACTAAACAAGTTCCACTGGAGCTCTGGGAGAGAACTAAACAAGTTCCACTGGACCAAGAGGTGAAGAAAACACAGTGGCTTTAGAAGCATGGTTTAACTTTTATAGTGTTACGTTGTGAAATCCGTGTTTGTTTCCAGAAGGTTGCTAAATACCTTGGAGTCATCTACTGTGGTCTGAAAGGTTGCTGATTTCCCACAAGGGGAGGGGCTGGATTAGTAACTTGAGTAGGATTAAAAAGTGGATTTGTAACCTCGATAGGTCCTTGCTGATTTCCCACTGGGGGCTGAAGTATAGTCGGGCCTGGAGGTTGGTTAAACAGTGGATTTTCATCTGGTCTGACTTTACCATTTCTGGCATCTATGCCGGACAGTTGCGCTCCCCCTAAACCTGTATTAGTTTTACTCTCTGCTGCCTTTTGGTTTAAATTGATCTTCGCTATCTGAAACAAACAACAGCAGTAAAGCACTGAAGTTTCTATTTACTACGTTTTCACAAAACAACTCATTTGATACTAAGTAACGCACCATACATTTACTCCTAACAGTGACAGCACACACAGAGGTCACTTTCTATTAACAAATGTATAGACCAATGAGAGCTAGCAAGATAACTATCTAGGACAGAAATGGAACCTTATTCTGTAGTTAACCCTATCAGTACTAAAGATTTTGCTTTAAATACCTATACACAATGAAAATAGCTTGAGTACTTTCACAGAGACAGTATATATATTGTGCTTTTACTAGCATGTCTAGCCAGATTTCTTTAGCATGCTCAAACCAAATGGAAAATATATAATTACACACCGTTCGTTGTTTGAAACACAGTGATACTTCCTGGTCACACACTGTTCGTTGGTTGGGACAAAGAGAGGGTTAAGTTGTTCGAATAATTGCAACAGTGAAGATGAATACACCAACTGTCAGAGGTAAAAAGAATGAATACTACTCTTCTTCTTCTTCACGTTCACTGGCTGTGAACTCCGGCGGAAAGTTCTGGCTGTACGTCTATCTCTTGTTAAAGAACCTGTGCCTAGCACACACACCAGTTTTACCTATCTGATTTATGTTGTGCATACTTTTGGTTCCTTGCCTGTCAAGCAGATGTACTCCGACTATTAGGAAAGCTCCCAATTAATCGACTCCTACGACATGCTTGTTGGGGAGGCAGTGGGTCTATTCTTGTTTTCCACACAATGGGGCCCAGGAACCCACACGGAGATAAATACTATTTGATATTGAAAACATAAGCTGTGTTTGGTGCCTGTTATCCCAAAATGTCTAGTCTGGCTGGATGTTTTTATTCTTTTTTCCAGGTGATTTTCACACTTTTTTGTATAAACCCAAGGTCTGGGAATGCTCTGTCTCTCTCTCTCTCTCTTTCTCTTTCTCTCTTTCCATCTCTCTATCTGTCTTGCTGTCTCTCTTGTTCTCTCTACTTCTGTCGCTCTCTCTCCATCTCTCTAAAAAATTAACCCCCGAAAAGAACTGATCACTGTCATTAATAATATATGTTTTTTCCAGTCTTACAACTGGCAAGCATGTCGTAAGGGTGGAAGGAAACTAGAGTATATCATAATAATAGGAAATTTGGAAGGAGAGAGTACGAGAGGGAGTCCAAGAGAAAGATACTTGACAGTTTGCGTGCATGTCATGGATGAATATTTGTATCAACAATGTTTGGCTGTACTTGAGACAGAAGGCTGTTGACAAACACAATTACCAGCAGCTTGGGTTGAATACCGCGGCAACAAGTGAGAAATTATGCGGAATCTAGAGCAGAATTAAGAGAAAACTGCAGACGGATAAAAAGCGTGATAAAGATGTACTGAAACAAAAACAAAACAATAAATGGTTTGTTTGTTTTAGTATCCAGAAGCCATGAGTTGTTAACCCTTAGGCTCAGTATTATGGATATCGCAACCTTTCGGCCTTGATTCCATTGTTAATACCGTAAATCTGGGAGAAATGTGACTTTTCTGCCTACCCCCGCGAGTGAACCCTGACCACAAGGAGTTCGTCACCCGGTCATCGCGCAATCCGGTTTAGCCAACTACGCTAGAGAGCCGGGCAAACATAACTGGCAAAGATAGTTTACCCGCATCGTTCGAGGACAGTTTATATTATTTTGGCGCATCATAATAAAGAAAACTGAAATGAGCAGGTAAAAGTACAGGTCTTTATTCCACGCCTTTAGGCGTATTGGGAACACAGGGCTAGACATATATTTTTATAGACCAATCGGCACTTGGTGGCTGATGCACCTGGTACCCACTTAAAGCTTGGGAGTCAAGGTCGTTTTTGAAATAAAAATCTTTTAAAGGCCGACTCCGTCAGGACGTGAACCCACGACCTTCCGATCGGCAGGCGAGCGTCTAGCCGCCAACGCCACGGTGACTCCCTGAAATCCTGAAATATGCAGGTCCTGAGAAAAGTTGGAGGAGAAGAATTTAGGCAGAGATCAACACAGAAAATATTAGGACAGTTTGTTATCGTGGCACAGATAAACATCTGTATTGCAAATTATCGGCAGCATTCTATACAGAAGGTTATGTATATACTGTACGTGATATCACATTACATGGACAGTGAGAAGACTAGATAACGGATCAATATAATGGCACATAAGTGCTCCGTTCTACTTCTGACCTAAGCCTGAGTCTGAAGAATCTCAGCGCAGTGCACGAACTCCGTAGCACCGGCGAGGATTAGGAAATACTTTTGGGTAGATTTTAAACTTAAAATTTGGTCTGTCTAGGCAGCGCCATTAGGCTACTCTTTTTGATTTCCAACTGCGAAGGGGTTTTTTTTTTTTTTTTTAACGTGCGCAACAATACACACGGTCATCAGACCCTACTACCCAGAAACCAGGGGACATTACTAGAAGTCCACGTGAAAAAAATACAAGCTTTCACCGAGGCTTGAACCCGGGACTTCCAGCACTCGAGGCGGACGCTATGCCTCGACAACACGCATGTATCTGAACTATGAGAAGAAAAATGATACGGCCATATGTTATGTTCAGTCATGTTGAAACAGCAACTACGAGTCAACAAATCATTAATTTGCTCTCTGATTGCATGTTTGAGATTGGTCAAAATTGTTTATGCCTGCCAGTTTGCTTCGATGCAGATTTGAACGCTAGACCTTTAGGCTGGCAGGCGTGCATTTTGTGTAGCGGTCGTTAGTTGCAAGCGTGCTTGGAATCGTTCCACAAGAGCACGCTGGCGTCGGCAAACAAAGAAGCATACTGTTTTAGTTGTAACACCCCCCCCCCCCCCCGCGCTTTCTCAGGTTGTGGACTGATGCATGCCAATGCAGATGTGATACATGTTATTTGGAAGCAGGTGAACAACACCAAATAGGGAACAGGTAACCATGGTTTTAAAAGAAATACTCAACTATCGTTATTGATTATGACAACTCACCTCAAAGTCCAGCTCTTTATCGCTCATGGTTCGTTGCCTGCTGAAAGCCTGTAAACAAATATGGAACAGTTAAACTGTCTCTCATATAGGACACAAACAGGGAAAGCCAAAAAAATAATATATTAGAATGTTCTTTCACTGGAACCCGCAGGATATCAGAGATAGAGAGATCCATTTTAAAACCACTAGCAAATAGAGAAAGATGTTAAAGTTCTGTGGAAGTTTTACTAGTTTTTGTTTAGGGGGCTGCGTGGTCTCGAGGCATGGTGTCCGCCTCTAGTGCTAGAGGCTCCCGTTTCAATCCCCGGTAAGGGCTGAGATTTTTTCACGTGGACTTGGACTTTAGTAATTGCCCCTGGTCTCTGGGTAGTGAGATCTGACGCCCGTGTGCATTGTTGGGCACGTAAAAATTTCCATGGCAGCTGGAAATCGAAAACGAGTAGCCTCACGACGCTGTCCAGGCAAATTTGGATTTAAAAATCTACCCAAAGTATTTCAGGATCCTCGCCGGTACTACAGAGCCTGTGCATTGTGCTGAGCTTATTCAGACTCAGACTTGAGTTAGATGAAGAAAGAAGCACTTATGGGTTACACCCGTGTGCCATGATGTTGATCCGTTGTTCAAAATCTCAAACTAGTTGTGTGTGTGTGTGTGTGTGTGTGTGTGTGTGTGGAGGGAAAAATGGGTGGTGGGAAAGGGGGGGGGGGGGCGGAACGCTGATATTGCTTTGTTCTGTGCTGCCTGGCCACTTCCAAGATGCAGAGAAATTTAACACTGCAAACTGATATACCTGTCATGAAAAAAAAAATGTATGAGATTTCAGCCCGTTAAAAAAATGTTAGCGCAAAATCCAAGTAATTATGATTGTCTCCCTATATCAATGGTAGCAGATATGAGCACTTAAGGGGTTTCTTGTATGTAGCAAAGGTGACTCTTTACATGCCAAGCTTCTATAACAAGACTTCAAGCCACAACAGCCGACAGCCGGCGGACCGCTGACGTGCTAAAACGTTGTTTGTTTCCTGCTTGTTTTGTTAATGCCGATTACCCATTTTTGAACAGTGAATCCAAGGGTTCCGTCGCCACCTGCTCGGTTTTTCGTTTTGGTTCAACTCTATGAGATGCGGACTTCATGCTGAATGTATGGTTCTGTTGTATCTCTGGCATGATGTTGACTAAACTAAAATTGCAGGCGGTCGATTCCGTTCCGTTCAGGATGACGAGTGCTTTTGCGGGTGCAATGCCGTCTTTCGTGACTGACCATTTGCTGCAACAGTGAGCTGCAAATACGATGTGGAACAGCGAGTGTTGGCACATCTGACAGCTGCCTCATGGAGTTTTACTTTGCGCATGCAAGCTTCACGATTTTGCGGGTACTAACAAGTTTTTAACTTTTCGTATAGGACAGGAAAGGAAATATTTTTTTTTTGCGATATCCACTGGCACAAGAACGGAACGGTCTCTGGGCGATACTTCCTTAGTTAGGTTGGAACCTCGACTAACTAACTAACTAACTAACTAACTAACTAACTAACTAACTAACTAACTAACTAACTAACTAACTAACTAACTAACTAACTAACTAACTAACTAACTAACTAACTAGCTAACTAACTAACTAACTAACTAACTAACTAGCTAGCTAACTAACTAACTAACTAACTAACTAACTAACTAACTAACTAAGTAGCCAGGTAACTGACAAACTAATGAACCACCTTGAATGAAATACCTATTTCTTACAATGAAACGCAATGGTGACGCACTGCTAATACTCTTGCTTTTGCAGGAGCAGAGTGAGGCTTTTTTAAATTGTTCAAACAGACCTTTGGTCCCAAGTGGACACAGCCTAAAATCGATTTAAGGAAATGTCATGGGAAGTGAAGACTGTCAGAGGGGGTACTGACCACTTTACCCATCGAGTGCCGATTGGTCTATAAATTTATGAATCTAACACCGTATGCTCGATGATCCGGTGGCGTGAAAAAGGCCCTTTTCACCGAAAATAAGACCTACCCTAAGAACGAACGAACGAACTATATTTTCAAAGGGTAACAAATTGGGCACGCAGGCCCGTCTTACATTCGGCCCTTCCAAATACCTGTCTTTCACACTGCAGCTGTATTTTATCAATAAGCATGTTATATCCATTTGATAATATGTATATTATAAATATTAAAAAAAAAAAAAGCATGGGTGGTAAAATGCATGCGCACTAGCGCACGCACACACAAACACACACCCACGCACTCACTTAAACACACCCACATACCTTCACACACATATAAACACCCCCCCATTCATACCTACCTACCCATACAGACACGCACATTCCACACATATACATACATACATACAAATATACACATGCACACACAGACACACCCATAGAAACAAATGCAGACACACACACAAACAGACATACGCGCACAGACCCAATCACACACATAGATACACACACATACGACAAACCCGCATACACACACACGAAGACTCACACACGCGGACACAAACATACACATATGCACAAACATACACAGACACAAACACACACAGATACACGCACACAGACACACTCTGAGACACACAAACACACACACACAATCGCAGACACACACACAGACGCTGATTCTCATGCAGACACATACACACACAGACACACAACCACAGAACACACAGGCAGAAGCATACGCAGACATTCATACACACAAGCACACACACAGACACACGCAGATACACATATACACACCCAGTGACACTACACACAGAGACACGCACAGACAAACACACACAGACATATACACATAGACACACACAGAGACATACAAAGATACGTACACACAGAGACGCGCATATACACAGGCCACCGGCATTTACGCAGACTCACAGGCACATACAAACATACACACACAAACACAACATAGACACACACACACAAACACACACAGGCACACACACAGCCACATATACATAGAACACAAAGACAAGCAAACACACGCACAGACACATGTAGACGCATACGCACAGATACACATACAGACACATACACACAGTCATACACGCAGACACCCACGCACAAACACACACACACACAAACACACACCTACATAGATAACACCCACAGACGCACAGTACAAACACACGAAGACACACAGATACACACAAACACACACAGACACATACACAGAGACGCACAGACAGACATGCATTCATACACACACAGAGACAAACACACAAAGAATATACACACAGACACACACACACACACAGACATATAGACCACAGACACATATAGATATACACACACACACGCCCAACCACTCGCTTAAACACGCATATCTACACACCCACATACCTTCACACACATAAACACACCCTATTCAGTCATAAACATACCTACCTACCCACCCAAACACGCACAATCCACACACATACATGCATACACGGAGATGCACACATGCACACACAGACACACCCATAGAAACTAGAATAAAACCTAGCACCTTTTTCGGTATTCTTTTAAAATAAGCTTTTAGCGGCGTCCGTGGCTTAGGCGTTGCGAGTCCGACTCGTAAGCCAGCGTACCGCGAACGAAACCATCTGCTGGCTGCGTGGATTTTTATCATGGTATGGGGCGTCGCAGGTCGACCCAGCCTAAAATGGGTGCCAGAATGGGCTGTCCTGAGAAAGTAAAGACAGCCGGCGTATGCTGACCACATTACCCACCGAGTGCTGATTGTCTGTAAAAAATATGGGCGCTCTTCCCATAAGCCCGATACGCCTAAAGGCGTGGAAGGATCTTTACTTTTCTTACTCTTTACTAACAATAAATGCGCACTGATTAAGGTGGTAAGCTAGAATGATATCTTGTTGCCGAATGGTCAATTGAAGCACAGACGCCACTGCTTCGCACTTGATGATAAATGGGTGTGCAATAAACAAACTATTTGAGTAAGGACCATTTGCGCATATTGAAAACTGAATCCGAGAAATCCAGAATGGAAAAGTTGCGATGCCTAGTTAGCAAGAGATTGTGACGCGGTTGGTGAAGTCATGGGTTAAAAATCAACTGACAGCTGTGTTCCAATGCACTACGAGCAGGCTACATGAACCAGAAAATATAATTTAAAGAAAGCTTCACTGATGAACATGAGAGACTGGAACCATTGGTTTTACAGGAAATAGGAATACAAAAAATTCAGACTGGAATTCGGGATTTGGAGAGGTATGACGATGTTCTAGAACAGCGTTGTTTTTTTTTTACCTGTGGGTCCCGACCCTTTTGGGGATCTAACGACCCTTCCACAGTGGTCGCGTAAGACCATCAGAAAATACAGTCACTGAATTTATTGAAGAAGCAAAGAAAATAAATATCAAAGAGTCGGGGCATTAGGCAAATTGAGAACCATTGTTCTAGAAGAAGATGACATGTCAATGTTTTTATCTGAGAAAAAAAAAATATATATATATATATATATATATATCCCCAGCAAATAAGTCATAGTGAATTTGTAAAGTAAAATTTAACATAAACCCGATCTTTTCCCCCGGAATAAAAACGGAATGTTACTTTCTAATCATGCAACAACAAGATATATAAACAAACAGGCAACTAACCGTAACTTGGATGTATATTATAAAGGCTAGATGAAATATGATGAGGAGACCAATGAGACAACCCTGAGCGATCTCGTCGTAGACTTCAATTTTACTGGGGGTTTTATATTTCTTCAGGTGAATCATAATGGCAATTTCTGCCGCCTGCAGTGTCAAATAGGCCAGCGCGAATACCACGTACATGTCCTGTCAATGGAAGGCAAATGACGTCATTTGAAGTGAAAGAAGATGGCAGCTATAATATACGTTAAAATGTATAAAGGTCAACATGGAACCAGTAAGATTTCTTTCTTTAGTCCATTTTATGCTTTGGATCACTAGGCGTTGCAAGCTAACAGATGACTGGTTTCTGAGCTAGGACAGGCTAGGTTGCCCAAAATGCTGTAACTGTAATGCTATCAAGTCTGAAGGTATCAGCGTCTCCACATCTTCTTGGTCGGCCTCCGCATCTCTATGTTTCTACTATGTTGTACGCTCATCGTTGGATTCATTTTCATTAAATGGCCAAAATATTTCAGTCATTGTGTGTCAATAATTTTAATTAAGGACATTGTTGCAATAGTTTTTGTAAAATCGTCGCTTCTCACACGATCTCTTCTAGTTTTATTCACGGATCTTCTCGAACATCTCATTTCGCAAGTGGTTGGTTTTCTTTCGTGTTATTTAGTCAGTGTTCAAGTCTGATACTGATAACCAAAACTGAGGTCAGTTTATACGTGAGAATATGAACAGGAAGATTTATTTACTTCTGTTTAAAGTAGAAAGTGAAGGACCTTTTTTATTAGCGCATCTGGCATACGGCGATAGTCCCACATTTTGATTGAGTAGACCGCACTCCATGTATGATTTGTTTTACATCTCCCCGACCACCGGTACTTCCCATAACATGACACCACTAATCAAACTTGTCAGAACTTTAGCACCTGCACAGATAAACACCTGTTTTTTTGCTTTCTTTGAAGTTCAATCAGCAGGTCCTTTACCGAACACCGCTCTCGCCACCGCACGCCTGAAAGTTTCTATTTCTCTAGCAAATTCTTTAGCCCTATGTGCTTTCATCTCCAAAGCATCTTCAGTGTTCTATGCCCACCTTTGCCGAGGTCTGTTTCTGCCTCGTTTTCCGGAAACTCTTGTGTCTGTATTACTTGTTTAATTGCCTTCGAGCTCAATTCCTTGGTGTATCAGGAGTTAAAGTATCGATTGTTTGGGACTGAAATCATTAAACGCTATAATAGTTTGCAGAGAACAGTGACGGAAGATGTGGTTCCTGGAAGAAGAGGCAGAGGTCGTCCAGCACTAGGGTAAACACCAGATATCGATGGTATCATGGACAAGGAAATTCACGAGGCGGAAGAGACTGACTGACTTTCCAAAGTGCTGTAATGAAGACGATGTTTTGCAAAGGACATGCTACATGTTGATAAAAACGTCTGCAGGTCCAAATGCTGGTGTAATGTTCCAGCGGAAAACCGCATTAGTGTAACGGCTACATGCTCGCTTGCTGTCTGAAAGGAGCCAGCCTTTTTTTTTTTTTTATTGACCTTGGTTCCTACGTCGACCCAGCCTTAAAAGGATACCAGCTAAAGTCCTGAGAGGTAAAGGCGGCTGGTGTGATGTTGACCACATCACCCAGCAAGTGCCGATTGGTTTTTAAAATATAGGCCCAGTCTTTACAGAACGTCGGCTCTCTGTGGCTAAGTCGATGCGAACGCTTCGTAATGCCGGGATGCCGGGTTTCGATCCCAGCTGCGGGCCATGCGCCTTGCGTTGATTTTGACAGTGGTATCAAGAAAGACGACCGCCTAGAAAGCAATAGCAAACTACTAGACGTAAATTTGCCTAGAAAAACCACACAACAGTCAGGGGCTGCTGGGGTTGGTTCTGCAACGTCCTGTGAAGGATACTCAACTAACCTAACCTTTACAGAACATTGTTCTCGTCACGACACGACTGAAAGTCTCTCTTTCTCTATGAATACGCATGGAAAAGGGTCCTTTTGTTGTTCTAACAATTTAATGTAAGACATTTTCCGCGGGTTACTAGGTCATTTACTAGACGATCCTGCGAAAAATTTTAATTAAAAGACAGAAGAACGGCTAATAATAAAGATAATAACTGCTACAAAAGCCAACAAAGTTGACTGATGCCTTTTTCACACATAATAACTAAAGACAGAAGAAGAAGAAGAAGAAGAAGAAGAAGAAGAAGAAGAAGAAGAAGAAGAAGAAGAAGAAGAAGAAGAAGAAGAAGAAGAAGAAGAAGAAGAAAGGGAAAAAAGAGGAAGAAAAAGGAAGGAAACAAGATGAAGAAGAGAGGGAGACAGGGGAAAGAAGAAGAGGAGGGGATTTAGATATAAGTATGACAGAGGTATATTGTGAATGATAGTATGAGACAATTTTAACACAAACAAGCCTACCAGATATGTCAAATACGATATACTTGGCAACGTCGTTTTCACAACCAGCTTAAAGGCAATACTTGTTAGAAACAGGGTCATGGTCACCCCAAGTCTGCCATCCGAGACTGGAGAAATTGCCAGGGTGGTAAAACTCAAGGCAAGTATTAACACCTGAAATTAGATAAAACAAACGGGAGAATGCGTGTGTGTAACCGCTCTTAGATATAGTCATAACACAGAGAGAACATCGAGAATGCAGAAATAATGGCTATAATAAACGAAACAATCTAAATAAAATGTTATCCTACCATAGAAAGAGTAGGGGAAACTAACAAGTTCAATAAATTCAATTGTTTGAGAGAAATTTTAGCAGTTAATTAAAAAAAAAAAAAACAACAACGGGGCAGCGATTATTGTTTATAGTCTAACCCAGTGTTTCCTAAACAGACGCTGTCCAGACTTCGACACTGGGTGGCGGAAGAATGGCATGGGCTGAAACTTCCATAAGCACCAATTACAACGTGCATTTTTTCGGAAGAGACTTTCTGTACCTACGATATGCCACAATTTAAATAGTTTCTTCAGCTATGCGTTCAGCCGTTTAGTCAGTAAAATAAAAAGGGAGACCCTCAGCTCAGCGTAGAAGAGTCAAGGCTCGTCGTGATTTACGTAACTATCATGATTAAATGTTGTCATCAGCAAGTCTCCAACAACCTACTTGAACGAGAGCTATATAGCACCAATGCTCGTTAATGACTTTGCTGTTTAGAGGACCACTGGAAACACCACAACAACCTCCTTTCCACTTCAAAAGTCAGTTGCAGAAAAATATTAATTGGACAAAGAAGTGGGGTTTAAAACTGTCATTGACCTTTTCGTCTGTCCGGACGATAATGTTATATTGTGTTAAAGTGGGGCAAATTTAAACAAGAGTTGGCTTTACAGACTTGCTCCCAGTAACATCGGGAGTAATGCAAGCGTGTGTTCTTTCACTTTCACTTTTTATCATATTCATGGACAATATTAATAAAATAGATATAACACCACCATATGTCGATAAACAGGAGGACTTCAATGAGCTGCTCTTGTCGACGATCAGTGCATATTCCACAGTGAAAATAAATACCTGCAGGACCGCATAAAACAACTACAGGACATTTGCCTTAAACAACGCATGAAGATCAATATTTAAAAAAAAAAAAAAAAAATAAACCAGAAGTCATGAGAAAAAGTAAAGAACAACAAACCATTGACTTAAAGATCAAAGATCAAAGTCTGAAACAAGTGCAAGAATTTAAATACTTGGGAAGCATCTTTGCACACAATGATAAAAAAGACAGAGAGATAGAAACGATACGCCAACAATGTCACGTACCAACTTCCTCAAATTTTTAAACACCCTGCTATACAAATAGAGACAAAAGGACATAGTATAAATACAATATTTATATCGACTTTAGGTTATCAATGTCAAACTTGGATATTGACGAAAGAACATGAAAGAAAACGAACCACCTGTGAGATGAGATGTTTGATAATGGCTGTTAATAAAACCAGAAGAGATCGAATGAGAAACGACGTGATCACAAGAACTGTTGGAACAACACCCATCGTCAAATTTATTGAGAAACAAACAATGAAATGGTTTGGCCATCTAATGAGATTGGAACCAACGATGCCAGCAGCAAGGGCGTACATTCATGAAAATCAAAACATCAAGAGGCAGGGAAAGACCGAGAAGAAGATGGATTGAAGAAGTCAGTGACTCCTTGAGACTGCATTACATCACGATATATCAAGCGACTGAGAGCACCCTGGCTCGGCTGCCGATCGTCTGATGAACTGCGACGCCCAGTGGCATAAGCAGATATCGACAAAAGAAAGAAAGATAGAGAGGCATATGAATTACAACCATTTAAGTTCAGGGATGAAATCCATCATCTCCAGAACACAAAAACAAGGCTTATTTGTAGAGGTCAGGTGTTGCTCCTGCGGCATGATCCATACCTTGACCTGCATTGTTTACTCAAACGAAAAGGTGACACCGTTAAGTTTTTTTTTTTTTTTTAAATAACGCCCGCTGTCGAATTTGCTGGATCCGGAGAGTTGTGTTCTGCCTGTCCGCATGAGGGGCCAACTGCCATAAACCAACTAACTGCCAACCAAGGCTATGGGACTGGTCTGCCTTGCCAGAACAGTTTTCAGATTGCATTTCTTCGTCCTAGCATTAGTAAGGTTAGTCTCCTTCTCTTCGCACTTTTCCATCCCAGGTCGCGGGCATTATGTCGACTGACAGGTTTAGTAACGTCGTCCAACGTTCTGTGACAAGAAAGAGAATACTACCGACTACAGTTGTACAGAAGCTCAGCCAAAATCAATGTAAAACTGAAACAAACAAAACTCATTGGAATAGTATGTTTGCTCTTATGCAAACAAAGAAATAATATTTATAATGTTAGAAAATCAACCAATATCATAGATATAACCACTTTGGGGTGGGAAAAGGGGGGGGGGGGGTCATTAACACCAGTCTCATCCAGAAGCAAAACTAAGCTAAAGAAACTCAAATCAACTCAAAAGGCATACAAAGTGGCGCTGTAATGGAAACAAAAACTGGGTGGAACATATTTGAGAGGAGCCAATACAAAAGCATGAGCTCTACACTGAAGATGAGGAATACGCCCTAATCCCATGAGCTGAAGCGGCAAAAACGAACCTAGGAAGCCCATGCGAGGTTAAAATTTGGGCTTATGAATAATGCTGGGCGCAATGAGAAACACCCTCGTAGACATTAACAATCGCTTACTTGATGTGAAAAGCTTGAGAGGGTTCCAAACCATCTGTCGAAAGACAGATTTTGAGAATACAAAACCATTCAGAAAAAAACTATTGATCATTTTGAAAGTGAAACTTTAACACTTGATGCAAATATAAAAACTGTCAAAATGATGAGGGAAGCTCTCACACGATTACTATGGATTAACCATCCATTCTTATCCGGGATGGTTCTGGAAATTCTAAAAACTATTTGCAAAAAAAAAAAAAAAAAAAAAAGCCATAGCAAAGTGATTTTTTTGCTTTATAAATCTATAAATCAGTATACCTTCTATATTTGGACCCCATGTATACTGAAGATTCTGGTAAAGAAGATTTAAAACAAATTAAAAAGAAATGTTACGGGTGGGGGAGGGGTGACCTACATTATATACAATAATCGCAGCACATAGACACACTCAATATCGGCATGGGAAGCTTGCATAAACTTCAGAGCTGTCAGCGAATCTACTTTGAACTGAGCACACTCTTAAGTACTTCAGTTTAACTAAATAAAGAGCTGCCATATTTACATTCTAAATTCATTCCTCCAAGCCGCTTTACGCGCTAAACAGGACAGAGTCAACTGTGAAATAATTAAAAAACATCAGAATGCTGTCCACAAGAAGATATCAAGTCCAACAGCAAATTCCAGCCTACTATGGATCCCTAGAAATGGAACGACAGGGAACCTCATGTAGCCCCATCTGTCTCAGAGCTTTGAAACAATCCCCGTACATATAAATATCCCTATAGTTGCCTTCAAACCACTCCATTGCGCTAGGGTGTCTCAGTGACCTTACATAAACAGTGACAGTCAAGACAAACGTATAAGCCTAAAGAGGGAAAGAGGCGCGGAAAAAAATCAATAGGATTTTTAACCTGTATATTACTGACAATTTAGAAATAAAAATAAAAAACAACGCCTTAAGACAAACAGAGGTATTCAATTATTTGGGATAAAACAGGACAGAGAAATTAGCTTGAGAGTGCCAAAGCTAATCAATTAATGCGGAAACTACCTCCCCTGTTGACATACAAGCAGATACCCGGGAGTACTAAAGTGAATCTTGTCCGAACTATTTTTTGGCCAACACTATGCTATCAGTGCCAAACGTGGCCACTTACGTCCCCTAATGAACGTAAAATTATGACAACAGAGATGAAATGTCATTGAAGAGTTGCAAAGAAAGACAGAATCACGAAATCAGACGTATGCTAGGAAGGAATAAAGCCAGTCTTACAGGTCATCAAAGAACAATAAATGAAGTGTTTGGACATATAACAAGAATGCACTGGCACTTTCTGCCACAACGAGCCACACTGAAACGTTACAACGAGTATAGAGCGAGCGGAAGACTTCGGAAAACATGGAGAGATGGCATTAAAAACGGCTTTGCAGTAATGAACTTTAATCACAATAGTGCTCTTGAATGAGTTCATCGGCGATTGTTGCATCGCCACCCGACACTTCGCTGAGGTACAAGGTGGAAGAGAAGAAGAAGATATTACTGCCATAATTAGCTGATGATAACAAACTATACAGTATTCATTGAAATGCTTTACCATGTCAGACTGCAATGTTAAAGAAACTATTATTTTTTTTCACAGTTTCTCTACGCGAATAGAAGCAAAATAAATTAATTACCACAATGATGACCACATTCCATATATAGAAGCCCAGTTTGCGCTTGATATGAGCAGCCGCTACCAGAATGGGATGTTTTGTCATGCTGACCGTTTCAAGAGTGTTGTAGTCACGAATAAAGTCCACGTGGCGATAGGCTGACCATTCTTGATTGCCCTGTTTAGAAAGCTTAACTTCATGATGTATTTTTCACATAGCCAGTTGAACGTTACATTGAGTGACCATGATATCTTGAGCTGAGAACGGGACATCACACAACCACTTTCAACAGAAAACGGGACATGTCACGCAAGTTAGTGTAACCAAAAAATGTTTTTGCTAGGTCACCGGGA